CTCCTCCTGAAGGTGGTTCACTCTCCTCCGAGCTGTCTGCGCTCGAGCTCCCTTTCCCTTCCCCTGTCATGGCGTTCCTTTTGTCTGACCCGACGATCCTTGTCCAGGCCACTGTCCTTGAAGAGACTGTCGTAGCTCTTACTCTTCTTCCGCCCCTTCTTCCTTGCTCTCCTCTCCTTCGAACGGCCCTCCTCTCTCCTTCTCACAACCTTGGAGCTTTCGTCACCTTTTCCTCTGATCTCCAAAGCCCCATGGCAATCCCATCTCGATCACTTCGAAGGCAAAGTTCACCTCGCGACCCCAATGCCTCTTCCTATCAACTTCAAGCTCCTTCTGCAAAGTCTGGGCATTCAGGTTCACCCCTACCTGCCTGGCTGCCCTCTTCGGCTCAAAGGCCTAAGTGGCATCAACGGCGCTTCCTCCTGAACTCTTTTCCTTCCTCCAGCGCTAATTGAAAGATCTCTGTCTGCCCTTCTTCTTGATCCCTTTGTTCCTTCCTTCAAACAGTGATGCATCAGAACGCTCTCTCAAACGCCGGTTGTTCCTGGCTGCGGGAATCCAACCAGGAGGTGGTCCACAAAGCGATCTCGGTCTCCTCACCTCCTGTCTCTCAACTGGTGGGGCTTTAGGGGGCGGTGCGCGAGATGGACGGGCTCGAGGTGCACTACTCGAAGTTGCTTGCTCTGCCTCCCCTTTGGCGACTTTCTCTTTTCTTGATCTAGACTTGCTGGACCTCTTCCTCTTCTTTTCTTGTCGGTGAGGAGATTCAACAACCTCCCTTACACCGTGTCCTGATCCTGAGCTCTCTCACCACTCCTTGTCTCGTCCTCCTCACGTTTCATAGGAACTCTTCTGTTGGTACCTCCCACAACACGCTCAACCCTGCGATGAACGTGTGAGCTGCCTTCTCCTCTGCTGTCTCCTCCTTTCAACTATCCTCCGAAGTCCTCACCACCTCTGTGCCTGTGCCCTTGTGAAGCTCCTCCTCTAGGTTCACAACCTCTGCTCAATCGCCTTCACCGTCAGGATGGAGTCCACTCTCGCTCTCCGGCTGAGGCGGCTGTCGCTGCCTCCCGTTCAGCCTGTGGCTGTTGGTCCAGCCAATGATCGAGCTCCCCAAGCAAATTGCGGAGCCTCAACGTGCCAAACAGGATGAAGCCCTAAACGGCACTCCTCTCAGCCACCAACCGCAGCAAACGGGACAATGAGGTACACAAACCGCAGGCACAATGCGGCGCTGTCCCCACGACCCCATAAGCTGAGCCGGAGCTGCGAGTAAAACTGGCTTCGCGTCTTCGTCCTTTGTTACCAGGATGTAAGTTCATATACATATACGTACAAATATGCGCGCACACAGTACAGTTCCACAAGCATCACGCGCATGCGTTCAAACATAGCAAGGGCAGCACAGAGCCAGACTACAGTACTCGAAACACAACACGGAAATACTCTGGAGGCTCCGGCATTCTCAAGCAGCCTTTTGATCAAACTCACGTTTCAAACAGAAGATGCTGCTCCAGCATATGTATTGCCCGCTCAAAACAAGATGATGCTGCCCGTATAAGCATGTGCGGAACAAAAATGCGTGCACGCAGTGGAATATGATGCTGCTCGTTTAGGTATACGCATGCACAAACATGCGCACACAGTACTGTTCCCAGGCTTCACAGGCACCATGCGCAAGCGTTGAAACATATCAAGAACAAGGCATGCCAGACAGACTATTCAAACACAACTTGCCTCTACAGCAGGTGATACCACCGGCACCAGCCCCACCCTGTCGCAACAGCGTGCACAGTCAGCTCAAAGCACCGAGCAGCACCCGGCACCAGCAGGATGTCTCGAAAGCGCTCATGGGCAGCTCATTCTTATTTCACGTAAGAACCCTTTAACTATCACCATCTGAGGAAATAACTTTACTGAACAGAAACGCTGGCCTCTCTTGCTGAACACCAATTGTGTCCAAACTCAATATGTTCGGTCTACCCATAGTATGTGGATGGAAGGACGGAAAAACCCAAAAACATAAGGGTGTTAAGGTGGGTTATTCCTGGGTTGAAAGTGTTGGGCCACGCCATGGTCCTGGCCAAAAAGTCAATACCATGCAAAAATTGAGGTGTTTCCTCATCCAAAAGCTGTCACTTGTCAGGCGTCCTTGCTTCTCAAGTTTCTCTGCATTATGAAAAGAATGGTAGCTGAGGACAAACTTGCAAACATAAACACATGAAGCTTTAGGGTATCTATCACATGCCAGGGTCATGCGGACGAGGCCAAGCCATTGAAGCCAAGACTCTTTATAGACTGCAAAGGTGCACAACGTGACAAAGCCCAGCACAAAGACGATAAGCAGAATCCAACCAATGACAAGCATAGCTGTGTGCTCGTCAGATCCGCAAATGATGTCCGGATACTTCAAGACGCTTCTCAAGCCATTCGGGTGCTTGTAGCACATCATTGGAGCAAGCGATGTTGCTGACATGGTGGAAAAGCCGACTTGAAGAAAAGCTCCGCAAGTACTGACTGTCTTGGATCCATTCCAGCGGCGATTTGCCGGCAGGAGTTTAGAAAGTAAATAGCAAAGACCCAACCAAGCCACACCAACAGGAAAGATCAATGCACTGAGAAGGTATCGGATCGGCGCGACCGAGCCTGAGCAATCCCCAATGCATCATAAGTCATTCCGGTTGTCTCCTATGCCTAGTGTTAGTATTCTCCTGAAGATTGAGCAAACATCTGTGATTTAAAGCTACTTAGCGCTTTGAGAGAAGTCAATCCGAACAATCGAGCTCTGAAATTCTGAATGGAACAAAAGTCGCTCTTGCGACAGCAAAAATGTCTAATTGCTGTTTGAGAATGAATACCTGGTCATTTTTTGACTCTCTAGTGGCAAACACCAGCTCTATCTCTGAACTGAGACCCTTCCAGCCTGCAATGCAGCTGAATCCATAGCTGTCAATGTCAAGCAGGAGGAATTGGCAAACGCTGAAGATTCCCTTGAGATCTACAGGCCAGTCAATGGTCATCATACCAATGAGCCCCAAGTTTTGCATGGACATCACGAGCATACCAAATGATGCAGTGGTGGCAAACAGCACGGTCGCTTTAGCTGTAACCTTGCTCGAGGTTAAGTAGTACAAGAGAACCAGGACGACAAACACGCCGACCACGGCCATGGCCTCAGAGAAGCGCCCGAAGCACCCAAGACCAGCCAACGCAGCAAGCACAAAGTGCACAAAGCTGGCACAAGAAGTTGGCACAAGAGTGCAGTCACAAATTTGACCGTTTGCCATTTGCTATCTTGATCCACTTCCAACTGAAGCTTCCTTACATGACATTGCAAATAGATTGAATGGCCTACGTTCGCAGCCACATGTCTTCCACCACCCGAAGAACAAAAGCCACTTGGCACCCTGTGCCCAGCATCTTTGTGTGTGTGTGGTATAATGTCATATGCGAAAAGGCTGTGCTGACAAGAAGGCATGACCCGCAAACCCCTTGGTGGAACCACCAACCATTCAGGAAAAAGCAACTTCAGAGTATTCCTCTCAGGGTTTGCCAGTGACGAAACAGTGCAACAAAATCACTGTTTAAGAATAGTTTCGAGTCAGTCATGACATAGCTAGCCGAGTCTTAGTCAAGTAACATACCCCTTGCACAACACCGATGGTTCCGCTTGTGAACCAGGCCAGGCCCAAAACCTGAGGTCCTGGCCCAAAGGACTTGGCGCCAACCTTCACACGCTTCACACTGCTTTCCAGTCCAGGTAGCACCTGTCCGTCGCAGCGCGCGTCCCGACGGAAAAGACCCGCCGGTGGGTATCGTTCGCATGGATTGGAATTAGATAAACCGGATCAAGGGATGCGAAGTTCAATGGAACATGGACTAAATCACGGGCGCGCATGATATTATTTCCAGAAGAGTATGTGGCATGAGACAAGTAGATTGCTGCGACTCAGCCCAATGAGTACCCAAGCTAAATGAGTCAAAAGTGCTGGAAGTATATACAGCGCAAACAGAGATCACATATGCCCTGAAGTTGCGGATTTTTACACCTCACATGTCTAGCACGACGTATCATGTATTCACAACAGCAAAAAAACTGCAATGAGGCCGCTGATCTCTGTTGGTTCCGCCTCCGCCGTTTTCGTGAGTTTCCGGTGTTGCGAAGCGTGAAAAACACCGTCAGCTATCATTTCAAGGAAGGTCTCCTTGTTCCTCTGTCAGCATCAGCTGTATCTGCTGAAAGTTATTCTTGGTTCCACTACTGGGTGAAGGATATTTGGTAATGGTGAAAACGTTGCTGCGGCTTCATGCTCGTAGCTATCCAAACTATTGCAGCATATATATATATACACAGCAGGTTGACCAGTCACAGTCACCTCGTTTTCATTCCAGCAGAGGCAAGTCAGCAGACTGCAAATCTTATTCTTATTCTGTGAGTCTTGATTTCCACAAACAATTCCTGGACACCAGTCCCCTTCAGGTTTTTCGAAGGCGCTGGACAGCACACAGAAGTCCGAAATGGACAGGAACGATTTCCACAAGGATCTCCAAGGACGAGAAAGGGGTAAGAGGAGTTGCGAGAACTACTGAAAACGTCCTCCTTAAGGTTGAAAACAAAGCTGGACAAGTATCTTCATAGGCGTCTCTGAACAGGGTACAGAAGCCTGGGCAGCACTTTCTGAGCCGAAGGCTGTACTACAACTTGAAGAGAAGGACACTTGGTATATAGTCAGTTAAAGATAGATGAAGCAGGCAGTTTCAGGTTGCTACAATGTGTGACAAGAATGTTCGCAAGGGGTCCCAGCTTGTTGACTGATAGGGATGATGTTCAGACTATCACTTGCCAAGGACAAGCACTCTTTTATATATCAACTCAACCTCCACTCGGTGATCCATTTTCCACCCGCTCATGCG